ATATATATATATATATATATATATATAATATATATAGTATATATATATATAATATATATAGTATAATGATAATTGACAATGGTAATATACAATAAAGATTAAAACTAATGATATCGATATTAAAACTGATCTATATATATATATATATATATATATGTAAATTTAAAAAAAACGAAGAAAGCGCGCGCGCGTATAAGGCTGGAAATGTAAAGTGAGATGGTTAACACAGAGAGAGAAAGGGAGAGAGAGAACGCGAAATAATATGCGTGCTTGTTTGTTGCGTGTTTGCATGAAAAAGAAAGAAAGAAAGAAAAAAAAATGAGAAAATTCAGAAAGTGAGAGAAAGATCTAAGTTAGATGATTGTCTATAGTATAAACAAAGGCGTACGTTAGGTAGCCTCGATGCTATTTAAACAGACTTAATTAATGTATTGCAAATGAATTAATAAAGTGTAAGCGAAGCGTGTATCCGTACAGTTGGATCATTTATTTTGCGTTTTATCATTTGATTCATTTTTCATTTATGTTAACATTTACCCTGCTATGCGTACCATTTTCGATAAATGCAAATATCACAAATATATTTCAATTTTATAGCATCTTAATTATTTCCTAACATTTTTCTAAGAGATTGTAAATATTTCTAATAACGTAACTATCTATATGTATATATATACACGCGGATGAAAACAAAACGATATCTTTTAAAAGGTTTCATAAAATAGCAATGAAATAAGAATCGAAACAATTTATTATTAAAATATTTTCTTTTCATTTTTCTTATCATTTCTTTTTGTTTTCCTTGAAGTGAGATAATAAAAAAACTTACTTTGTTTACTGTATAGCAAGGTATTGTGCGCAGGCGATAAAATATAAAATTAATTATATTTTCGATTTTTCGATGAAACACCAGCAAGAAACAAAATCATAAAAATGGCGCGTATAATATGTGATGAATTTTACCTTACCTTCGGAGAGAGAGAGAAAGAAAGAGAGTTACAAACTTCGTCGAGTGTGGCGCTTCCATCGATTCTCTCGAAATATTTTGATAAGAGATTAATGTTAACAGAAAGTTTCGTATAACGTCGCAAGCACGTCAATCGGCGTGTGCGATGACGTTTCTTGGCTGTGTTCGGAATACTACTGTCGGTGAGAAAGAGATTGTTTTTATTTTTTTTTCTTATTGCCTCAATTTGTTGTTAACATTTTATTATACAACATATATATGTATTATTAAATCATAATTCATAAATGTTATCGGTTTCAAAATAACATTCTAGATAATCGATAAGCCGATTAATTTTCTTTCTTATATCTTATATATACAATTTATCTGTTTTTGTTTATTAGTTACAATAAATAAACAAGTTTAACATTTTTTATTTTTTTTTTACTACGATTAATGTTTTAATTTTTATATTGAATCTTTATAAATATAAAATAGTTAATGTTTAAAATGAGAATCACTGTCATACCAATATTATTAATTAATAAATAAATTTTGCGTGTGTGTGTCAGATCAATAAAATCGTATTACAAATATGGTTATGTATTTACGCATGAATATGTCAAAGTATTTGATTTCGTTAACGAGTTGATCGAATTAAAAAAAATAAAATCTTTGTTAAAACAATCCTTGTAAAAAAATTGATTGAACGTTGACCTTTAGACTTGTGACATATAACACGTGCTTAGGAGACACGTGAATGAAGAATCATTGCATCTTTTTAGGGACTTTGCAGCAGATTTGTTTACAATCTCAATTAATATATAATCATAAAAACTTCAAAGAATTCTTCATACGAAATGCATCGAGTTTTGTTCCTAAGAAAGTTCTTATAGTTTCCAAATTAACACGATATAATTTTGAAAAATTACGAGAGCCTAATTTGAATGAAGAAGAATTTAAAAATAAATTATTGCGAAGAGGTTCCAACTATGAGTCGATGTTATCCTGTCATCATTCGACTAAAAATGTCGAAAATGACGTAGTGGAGGTACTTAACAGACTAAACATTGAATACAAGAAAGTTGATAGGTGAGTTGAGTAAATTTTAATCATTTTAGAAATATTCATTGATATTTTATATTTTATCTTTTTCAGAAGCAGCATAAGCAGATCCGATGTTGTCTGGGCCGATTTAGTTTTGCCCATTGGTGGCGATGGCACCTTCCTTTTGGCTGCTAACTTAATATTCGATAACAAAACACCCATAATAGGAATTAATTCTTATCCCACTAACTCAGAAGGTTACTTGATGTTACCATCATATTATACCAAAAATATATCGCAAATCTTTAAATTATTAAAAGCAGGACAATATGATGTATTAATGAGATCTAGAATTCGAACTACTTTAAAAGGTGAAGGAATTTGGGAACTGCCTTTTCATATGCATGAGGAAGGTCGTCTTGTTGGAGTTGAAAGGTATATTATTGAATTACAGTACGATTTAAATTCTATGCATTTCTTTTATCTTAAATGTAGAATCTTTTATAAACAGATTTTTGTCCAATGACCAACTGAGACCAATCAATTCAGATCAATTACATGAAAGGAAGTTGCCTTGGTTAGCACTCAATGAAGTAAGTTATTTAAACATTATTTTAAGTCTTACGTAAATATATATTATATTACACATCTCATTTAATTTGTCTAATGCAAATATTTTGTTCATAGGTATTCGCAGCCGAAGTATTAGCAGCAAAGATAAGTACTTTATTGATCAAACTTGACAATGAGGAAAATTTCCATAAAATTAAAAGCTCTGGTCTTTGTATAAGTACGGGCACAGGCTCGACAGCTTGGTACAAGGCAATAAACAGCATTAGCCCACAACTTGTACAACAAATACTCGGTTTGGTTGATGACCGAAAGAATTTTACAGATAATGAAATAAATCAAATATGTACTAAGTTTAATAACAGCTTGCATTTTAATCCAGGTAGGATGTGCAATAATTATAGTAGAAGTACATGTTTCTTTTTTTATATCTATTTTAATATTAATTATTATTTTTAGAAGGACAAAATCTTTGTTACGCTATAAGAGATATGATGATAACAAAAGTACATCCAGTTCCAAAGACTTTACAACGATATAACATTTGTAAAAAATTAACAGTAAAATCATTGTGTTTCGACGGAGGATTGGTTTTAGATGGTGGGATCGCTGTACAATTTAATTTAGGAGCTTCAGCAGAATTTGAGATAGAACCGAATAGTGCTTTGAGAAATCTAATCCTTACTATTTGATAAAGTATAATATTGTGATAAGAGGATAAACTAAAGAAATGTACGTTCAGCCAAATATACGAGTACGTTCAGTCAAGATCGTACGAGTCGACATAAGAAAAGCAGTTATCCGAATTTGTAAGTTTTAACCGTATCTCTCTATTACTAGGAATATATTTAATTTTTTACAGCTATTTAAGAAAAAAAAGAAAACAATATTTCTTAATTCTTGAAGGAAATAGTTCAATGCGAGCTTTTTAAATAAACATGACTTTAAAATAGTAATTTAATCGCGTATGTATAAATGTAAGAAATTGTAAGAATATTAAAAATATATTTTTTCATAATATTAATGATGCAAAAAAGAAAAATATTTTACTACAAAAACAAGAAGGATATTTATACGTTTAAAGTAATTATTTACGTGTACTATAAATGTAATAAGGATAAAATACTATAATAATATATATTATGATATATGGGGCATTTCACGTGAAGCGAACAACGAAAAAAATGTGAGGTCGTGGATTTTGTTCATAATTAGCTTGATAGTACTTCTATGGGACCTCAATAGTTGTACATCATAATTTTTTTTTTTTCCTTGGTTACCAATTTATGAGGCTTCAAAGAATTGACAAAATATGAGGAATAGATTTTTCGAATAAATCGTGTTTATTAGAGAATATAAATGAATTTTCTTGGAAGTAGATAAAAATTTGAAATTGAACTTTTTTTCGTCTAGTAAACCGGAAGTTAAAATTAAAAACGTGAATTTATTAAACTTCGCATATTTTTATTTTTTTAATTTTTACCTTAAGTAAAAGTTTCTAAGTGTATAATTCATTAGTTACAATAGTAAACTGTAAGTAGCGAGTGAGCCAACAGCTCTGAGGAACCGCTCAGTCAGTACAGCGCGCCATACGGAACCTTCGTACTGTTTAGTTCATATCTTCTAAACGAATCGAGATACCATTATAATTTTTTTTGCATAATGTTTTTACACTACAAGCTATTTTTTAAGGTACAAATAAAAAAAATAAAAATATGCGAAGTTTAATAAATTCACATTTTTAATTTTAACTTCCGGTTTACTAGACGAAAAAAGGTTCAATTTCAAATTTTTATCTACTTCCAAGAAAATTCATCTATATTTTCTAATAAACACGATTTATTCGAAAAATCTATTCCTTATATTTTGTCAATTTTTTGAAGCCCCATAAATTGGTAACTAAGGTAAAAAAAAAATAATGATATGCAATTATTGAGGTCCCATAGAAGTACTATCAAGCTAATTATGAACAAAATCCAAGACCTCATATTTTTTTCGTTGTCCGCTTCACGTGAAATGCCCCATATATTAAAAAAGAAAAGAATTCTCTCGGTCGTAATCGCTTATCTTCGGAGGAGTTCGGTCTACATCTAGCAACACCTAGCGAAAACCAGTCGAAGTAATTTTCCCTATACGAAGGAATATTTAGTTAACACTAAATCGTCAGTGAAAGATGCGTGTGTGTTTACTTTAGTGAACCCTATTAACGATTGAAAAGTGAGTCTATGAAAAGTGTTAACATCAAAGAGATCGACAATTTCGGATCGATCTTCAAAAAAAGAAACGTTTTAGGATGTGCGATCACAAAGCTTGCTGCGATAAATTATCTCAACCGGATATATGAGGGTCCGGTGTGAAACTAAAAGGTACGAACAACAAGAAATAAATATGCACACAAGACGACTTAAATTTCTTCTTCTGTATTATCTATAAACGAACAAGGAGGGGAGTCTTTTTAATTGCTATTAGCAATTTTATTTTTTATTTACCATCGAATTTGATTGTGTACATGATTCGAGTCCGATGAAAAATTGACCAACGTAAGTTCGATTATGAAAATAAATAAGATAAAAACAAAATAGAAGTTAATGTACGTTCCGATATGAATGTAAGAATTTTTATTTTGAGGTTAGAATGCATCCTTGCTAATGACAGCTTCATAATTTAAATTATTTTATCAACGCTGAATTTTATTTCTTTTTATATTTACATTTTCAATTGATGTTTCGATTACTCGAAAATCAATCCTTTCTTTAATTTAAACATTTTTTTTAATGTCACCGCGTGAATTTCTGTCAATTAAACAATGACGTAATTTAATTTATGATAAGATTGTGGGTAGGAATAAAAATTATTAAACAAAAACTTGTATCTCACGTTTTTCAATAAAATCAACTATTGCATTTTAAAATGGCATGATCTTTACTACATTTATTTATCTCTGTTTATGTTAAAAGGATACCATATCGTTTATAATCGTATCATATTAATGTACTAGCTTTGTAAAGCTCAAATGTCGTTTTATAGAATTAAACTAAACAAAACCTTATCCAATTTATCATCTCAAATGCATACAGAATAATGGTGTAACAAAGTAACTATTATATGTGTTATCTACAGTAAGAATATACTTCCGTTCGAGATAAGCCTTTATTTATTTACACATAACACATACACACACTCTAAATAAATTCTAATTAATGTTTACAGTAATAAAATCCTTTGGACCTTTGATTGCCCTTCTAAACTGTAAATTTAAAGTTCAGAGTTACTTATATTTTAATCTAATATAATCAATTTTAATATCGGAAGTAAGTGGTGTAAACATATACACATTAGGTATGTGTAAATAAAGAATGAATAAAAATTATTTTGTAAAAGTTACATATTTAAAAGAAAGTTATTTTGTCGGGTCAAAAGATGGTAACAGTTGTGTATGATTTAATATTGTTCATCGTTCCAGGAAAACATTAGAAAATTAAAATAATTTAATTAACGTGTTCAACAGGTTATCGTCGTTACGTTTTTCCAAAAAATTATCTCAGAATGGAAGAAGATGATAGACAAAATATAAGAACTGCAGTGGAGAATATCCTAAGCGGTTCGATTAATTCCCAAAGAAGTTCTTACACGCAACAAAGTTTTACGAGAACGTCCGATATTGTCCTCAGCGAAGATCTAATAGCTGGTGCTAGGGAAGGCGGCAGGATGTCTAATGTTCGTCGTTTCTTTTGTCTATTCGTAACATTTGATCTTCTTTTGACCGTGCTTATGTGGCTTATTTGCAGTATGGTGAGTATTATTTCTAAATATTTCCAATTGTTCAATTGATTTTATTTTATTCTTTATTTCTTTACATTAAAAAAAGCGCGGGAAATATTTTTCTTAACATTAAACGTATCTTTTATCCAATATTAAATGCAATCAAAATTTTATTTTGTAATTTATTTATTTAATTGAAATTCGAAAAGATTGATGATATTATAGTTAATCAATAGTTTGTTATTATATTTTATAAATTAATTTGATAATGTATTTCATTATGTTTGTTTATGGGTTTGCATAATTGATGAAAATGTTTGAAATTTGAGAGACTTCCACAATACAATAAATAATATATTTATATTTTTTAATTACATAAATTTTATATTTTTAATGAAAATTTTAAAGTGAAATAAATCGCGCTAATTTTCAAATTAACCTATTATGTATTATATTACAATACACAATTAAATGTTTCAATAATTAATTAATTTTATATATAACATTTTATTTATTGTTTATTGTTCTTTCAGATAGCCGGGGAAAATTTGGAAGCAGCATTTATCAACCAGGTTGTAGATTATCACATAAAAACGTCCCTTTTCGACATTGTGGTAAATATACATTTTTATTATTACATAAAAAATAAACAATAAAAGACATAGAAAAAGAAAAAAAGAAAGAAAGAAAGAAAAGAAATTAGATTATTTAAATACTAAATAACATTTATTTCGTTGTAATATTTCGTTATTCTTGCTGAGGAAACAGAAATTTACGGATTTCGTCTTCTCAGATGGCAGCCATATGCAGGTTCACGGTGTTGTTGCTCTTTTATGCATTGCTCCATTTAAATCATTGGATCTTCGTAGCCGTAAGTAAAAACTTTCTCCATTTATTCAAGTGGTTCCCAAAGTGTGTGATGAAGCGGTCCAGGGGGGCGATTGACACGAAAAAAAAAGAAAAAAAGGCACCAAAAATTTTTCAAGGGGCAAGGAAGCAATTTTCCAGTTTTTTAGAAAAGGGGACGGTAAGACTAAAAAGTTTGGGAACCACTGATTTATTCTGATATTTATAACATAATAATAAAATAATAAATTCTTTTTAATTATTTGATGAGCGTACACAAAATTCTAAGTTAAATGCCGTAAAAATAAAATTGATATTATAAAAATATTTCAATTATTTTATTACGATATTTTAATCATTTTATTTTAAATACTTGTTCAAAAGATTAAAAGTAATTACTTTTTTGTTTATAGTTAACAACTGCCTGTACGTGTGCCTTTTTACTCGCTAAAGTATTTCTTTTCGACGTAAGTTAACATTTCATTATATTATCTCGATTTTTAATTATAAAGACAAAAAAATTAAATGATAAATTAGCTCTACAAACACCTGTAAATGCTTGGTTAATTTCAGTGGGTATCATGCAACCAGCCAGTCTTTCAAGTTCTACTGATACTCTCGTCTTTCATTCTTTCTTGGGCAGAAGCTTGGTACTTTGATTTCCGCGTGATACCTCAAGAAACGCATGTTATAAATTGGATACGAAGTAAGTTAATATTGAAAAAAAAGAAAACAGATAAACAAATGAAATTTCAAAGAGCAATAATACACATTGATATGTGTGTATTGTTAGCGATAAACCTATACACCCTGTGTGTGCGTTGTTTCAACAAAAAGATTATTATTTAAAGTTTGATGAAGAGGGAAAGAATTGTAGGATTGGACTAAAATAATTCTATCCCCATTTTTATCTCCTTATAAAGATCTTAGGACTCTAGATAGTTCATAAAAATAGTCAAACGTCTACTTCAGTACTTGGTTATTCTATCTTGTCCTATTTTGGTGGGTTGTATTCACTTTCTTTGTTACATTGTGATATAAAAATACATCAAGCATGAGTTTTGGTAGTAACTAATCAGTCCAGTTAATTAAACCCGAATATAATCTTTTATTCAAATCATAAATTTCAAATTAATACACATACAATATCTATATTTTATTAATAAATTTTTGGTAGACATGTCAAACGCGGAAAGAGCACCTCTCATTCAAGCTACCATTGCGGATCCACGTCAATATAGTTCGATCGAACCTTCACGTAACTTTTACACACCTATGGATTCTCCAGCTCATTCGGATGTCGAAGATGAACTTGTTAGGAGACAGGATACTGCAAATGAAATCTTTATTCATAAACCATTACCCAAATTAACACCTGATAAGGTATGTTCTTAATTTTAAATTCAAGATTTTTTAACAAAATTTTATAAGAATTTTTTCCGCGTAATATGTAATAAATTATAAAAAAAAAAATTGTCGCTAAAGTTGGTTATAAAAAGTATTAAACACCTTTAAAGGTAAACAAAGTAATATGAGTCATTCTATTGGTTAGGAGTATAAAAAGAAATCAGAGAATCAAATTGCTTTTAGTTGATTGTTGAACTATCAATGAGATATTTTATAAAGTGCAATAATTGATAACTATAAATGGTTAATTAAATTTGTGTAAAAGTTACATTTCTTAAAATCATTTCAATCCTGTGAATTTTTCTTATTATTTGAAATAATTTTTTTACAAATATATAATAATGACATCGTTTATTCTTAATGCTTGTAACGTTGAGTTTATTAATAAATTTTTCTTCGGTGATAAAGGAAACGATAAATCAAAGGATTCCAAAAATAATCAAATAGAAAAATTTTTGAATGATTCTACAGAATCATCAGTGAGTTTAGTGTATTAATTGTTATTACGTTTAATTCCAAATAATAAGATTCGATTATTATATGATTCAGAACACATTCCTGACTATGAGTAAAGTTTGACACCATTTATGGAATATCTTTTGTAATTTTTACTATCGCATATAATGCGCACCTATAAGACCATGCCTATAGTCTTATTTTATAAATTTTTGTTTTCAGATTGATGAATATAAAATGACGGCTAGAACGTTATTAAAAAATAGTCATGACTTATTAACATCAAAAGAGTGGAAAATAGAAGCTACACAGCCGTGCGGTGATACAATTTCGTATATGCAAACCAAGAGACCAGAAGGAAAAATAATGAAAATTACAGTAAAATTTATAATATTATTATAAAACATATTGATATATTATAATACATATATAAAAATATATTATTACATTTGTAATTTAATAATATAATATATTATAAATAATAATAATTATTATTTTTAAGGGTATAGTTGATGCACCAGCCAGTATGCTCATCAATTGGTTGTTCGACGATGTCGAAGCATTACCAACGTGGAATAAACTTGTAACTGAATCGAGGAAATTGCAGGTATTAATTTTTTAATTAATTTTCATTGACTCAATTTATCAATATAAAATATGTAAAAATAATTATAAATTAATTATCTTATTACTATCGAGAATTGTTATATTATTTTTATAGCACATCGACGAGAATACAGATATAGTTTATCAAGCAACGAGTTCGCAAGGTGGTGGATTGATTGGTGCACGAGATTTTATTATTTTAAGACACCGTAATAAATTTGGTAATTATTACATAAGTAGCGGTATGTCGGTGACTTTAAAATCATTTCCAAGTCGAAAAAACGTTGTCAGGTGAGTTACACATTAAAAAATTCACGTTTCCATATCTATCTTAGTTTAATTATTTTTTATATTTGATTTTTATATTTGTTTATTTTTTTCTTGAAGGGGTGAAAATGGTGTAAGCTGTTGGGCTGCTGAAGAATTAGCAGACGGTGATAGTAGCAAGTGCCGTTTCACATGGATCCTCAATACCAATTTAAAGGGTTGGATACCTCAAAAAGTTGTGGATAAATCATTATCCGCAGCATTAGTAGAATTTATGTCATATTTGAGAAAATATTTGGACGAGTATCAAAGACACGCTGCTACATAAAATGTCACCAAAAAGTATCTATATGCTTAATTTGAAGAAGAGTTTATCATGACAGTTACGTTACATGAACAAACAAATTATTGATTATTCACACTATTATACATAAACACAAAAGCATATATATATATATATATAATGTTTCGTAATACAAGAGGTTTATTTTTAGTAATGAACAGGAAATATAAAAGCAATCTAAAAAAGTTCATACANATATATATATATATGTATGTATATATAGATATATATACGTACAGTATGCAAATTTCGAGAAAATTAACATTTTCTTTTTCTTGAAGTAAATACGAAAGACAACGCCTTACATTTTATTTGAAATTAAAAAAAAAGAGAAAGAAAATAATACAAATAGAAAAGAAAAAGAAATTTTTGTAGACAAATGTGAGCAAATTCAAAAAGATGATAGAGTGGGAGACGAGAGGAAGGAGGGAGAAGTTTTGATTAACATGGTGCCGAAGTGTTCTATTATAAAAAACAATATCTTTTCTAATAACATTTATTCTCGTTTATAATTTGTTGCTTTATATGTAAAACCACATTCGATTGATAAATTTTAAGATACGCATTAGAAAGACGATAAATATTATTAAGATATAAAAATCCTTTCTCTTTAAAGAGACATTCGTGATATTCTTAATAATGTAAATATATTGACATTTATGTACAATTTATTTTTTGCTATCTTTGTGCATCTTTTATTTTTATTATTATTATTATTATTATTATTATTATTATTATTATTATTATTATTTATATAATAATAATGCATATAGGTATATATAAACTTTACTTAATAACGCTTGTCGATGATTTATTTAGTTTTCGTTAAAAAATAGAATAAGCTGCAAGATTAAACAAACCAAACATATTCTTAATATTATTACTATTATTATTAATTTTTAGTTTATTTTATAAACGTTGTATTCTTGCATTCCCAAAGTGAAAATATAAAAAAGAAACGAAGTTCCTGATGGGTGCGATGAATGAAAGTAACAGTGCGATTCAAGAATCTTCAGAAACATTCGTTTTTTCACAGTGTACATAAACAATGTGCATAATTGATCTTATATGTATTTACATATACATACATACATTTATAGATACATATATACATGTACACACGTTTGAATGAATGCAGTAAATGTAATGTGATAATTTTTATTTTAAAGCTCGTCTTAAATTTTTAAATATAATGAGCTTTACAAACTCTTCATTGATTTCTTTGTAATTAAAATTTTTGTCTATTTATTTGAATTCTATTATAAGGGAAATTCCTCCAAAAAAAAAAAGAAAAAAAAGGAAGATACTCTTTAGAGGGAACAAGATTAAATTAAATTAAATTTGATTGAACATAAATTACTGAAAAAAATCAAACAAAGAATTCATTTATTAATTTTCTCTTTGATTCTGATGAATAATAGTATTATTTTTATTTTAACAGAATAAAATTGTGTAATGATTTTTATTTTATTAAGCAATAGTTAATTACTAAAAATCTACAATTTATGTATACTCGTATATAGTAATTTTGGAAAATTTATATTTTGTACAATTAAATGCATTTAATGATGAATTTTTACCAATTTAAATAATAAATAAAGCAATTTTTAGATGGCGATGATAATAAATTATTAATAATAATTGAACACAGAATTTTAATTTGTAATGTAGAACCGGTCGTTGTATGTTTAATGTTAAACCAGCTTAAGTTGATCTGTTTAAAATTTCAACGAATTAGAGTATAACAAGTCAAAAAAAGAATGTAGAGGAGGAAAAAAAAGAACATGATATTTCGTATAAAGTTAGAAAATTTAGTACCGATCTAGTGTCGGATTTGATAGCACTCGTATCGTTCACAACGATTCTACAAAGAAAAAAAAAGAAATTTAGGATAATTAAGACAAAATTTAATACCTTTCTCTATATATATATATAATTTATGCATATGTACCGGTAATTATGACAGTGGACTAACAATAAGTAAAAAAATTGAAAAATTACTTTTATGATATATATTATGTAATACAGAATTTAATTTATAATTTATGTTATAATACAGATAATTGTAATATTAATCGAATCAAAATGAATTAGTTGAATTTTATGACCTAGTCTACTACCACAATTACTTGCACACATATTATATACACAAAGAGACGTATTAAAATGATTATGTATGGTATATACATATATACATACAAATATATATTATTTTGTTTAACAAAACTAGCACGAATCAAGACATCATATCTTTATCGAAGAACGATATAAATAGTAACATTGAGATGAGAGATTTGACTCGTGGGAGGTGAAAATTTGAGCTTAGTTTAGTTGAGTTGAGTTGAGTTTAGTTTAGTTTAGTTTAGTTTAGTTTAGTTTAGTTTAGCTTTTAGCTTAGCTTCGCGTTTCGTTAAGACAGAGTTTATATAACCCAAAGAACTTTAGCAGATATCCTTTCCTACTTTACTTCATCGTCTTCTCATGGACACTTCGTCTCGTCCGAAGTTTAAATATAACTATTTCCGCATTGAAAAACTTAACCGATGAATTTTAACATTTAAAAGGAAGAAACACGTTGTCTTCATATCTCGTACACATGTATATATATGCATACACTTATATATTTACGTCTGTTCCTACACATTCACAAACTCGTCATAATGCTCGATTTAAGATCGATGTTCATCGAGAAAAATATTATGGTTCTCGTTAATATATATATATATATATGCATATTTATATATGACATAATAAAATAGGTCAAACTTGACGGGAGTTTTTTTTTTTTTTGAATAAATATATGCATGATACATCTCACTTTTTTTGTAAGAAGATTAAAAATAAAACTCATCGATCGGTTGTAAACTTCTCTCGTAGTAAAAATAAGAAAAAAAGATTTTTAAAAGTTGCTAATAGTTACTACATAAAATTTATATTTTTGCGTGAAAACAAAGGAATCATTTTTATTTTTCTCTCATTTTATTTTTATTGCTAACAGAATAAAAGTTACCCTTAACATTTATTTCGCGTTAAAATTCAGTCCTTTTAAAGTGTTCATATTATATATATATATATATTATACATATCATATAAATGTGTATATAAGTTGTTTTGTACGCAGCGTACACTGCGAAAATATGACATATGAAAATGTTCAGTGAAATAGCTATCAGTGGGGTGTGGTGGGAGTAGAACGCGACACGACGGAGCGATAAGCGCGATTGGTTGGTGGGCGGGCAGGTGGCGCTGTGGCGGGGAGGATGATGGAGTGGGTGGTGTAAGGTGGGGGGATACAGGCTATACGAGAAGGACTGAGCCAGTCGGTCCCGCGCCACGAGCGTATATACGTGTTTGTTCTGTATTATCGTCGTGTTGTATATTCGTCTATTGTAATCTACATATATCGTGTACGGTATTTCTTCATGGTTTTATCTTTCATTCTGAATAGTTTTAATTTAAGAATATAATCAAGGAAATAATATTATCGTAATTAGATTCGAAAAATAAATGTCATTTGTTATATAAAAATTGTTTTAGAACATTTGTCGCTAAATATACATTACATCTAGGGATTTCTCCTCAATTAACGGATTGTTTTGAATATCAGTGTGTGATAAAAGCAGAAAGAAAAGAAAAAAGAAGAGAAGAAAATACAGGAAGAAACGAGCCATGACAATGCCGGAAACGTAAGGACGCACCGGTTGGTTGGAGGAAACGCGCGCGATGGCGCAGAAATGGTAAGTCCTTTTTCATCTTTACTTTTTTCTTTTACTTTGTTAACACTTTTTTAATGCAATATTTATTTTGTAACCTTCATTTACTTCTCATTCTTTCGTTACCATTTAAAAACGGAGACAGAATATTAATCTAAGGATTATTATTGTTTCTAGAACATTATACGAGAATGTTGATGATTCATAATATGTTTATTTATTATTTTCATTTTTGTGTGTGTTCCTGTGTCAAAAAACATATTGCGCGATTCAGTGTTATAACCTTAAACGTCTTTTGATCTTTTCATAACAAAGATTCCAAGAGTATCGTGAAATTAAATTTCATTGAGTTAAATCAATTTAAATTAAACGACAAACAACGGTGTTGTTTTCAAGGATATTAGTTTATAAAAAAAACTCTCTATAGTCATTAGTACAAATTTGATAAATCTAATCTTATTTTTGAATAAATCATTTCATTTCATGTGGATTATAGTCCGCCCATTACCGCGTTAGTCAAAAACATCTCATCTATCTATACGTAGTACTACGTAATACGAATAAACGTAGCGTGTTACGGTGTCGCGATATCATACTTGAGAGTTTCTCGCTTAATAATCCATTGAAAGCCCTCGAAAAGCGTAAGAGCATCGTTTTTTTTAATAGTAGTAGTAGTAGTAGTGGTAGTGATATTGGTTTAAGAGCCTCTTCGTTGATTATATTTTATATGCGCCAAGAAAGTGCTCATCTTAAACTCATCGTTATAAGGGAATTTTTCGATCCATCGTTACTCTTCTCTTTCTGATCTCGAAATAAATAATAGATCGTTATAAAAAAAATCTTTCAAAGAAAATGGAAGTTTATGTTATTTATTTTGTTCTTTTTTTTCTAACATCTCTCTTTTTTAATTTTCTTTTTTCTTTTTTATTTTATGAAAGAATACTTAAAAAACTTATAGGCTTTGATAATACTAGGATTAAAATAGACATAATATACACACATACACACACACACGCGCGCGCGCGCGCGCTTTTCATATATTCTATTTTTTTTTTGTAATCTTTACTCTTATTTTCTTTGCGTGTATTTATTAAAGTTAGAAATTCAATATTCAAAGATTCTACTCGGATGCACGTATTCTAGGATCACAACCCTTTTATAAGAAATATATATGAGTACATTCATAGAATAATATTTACAGTGTGTCTGGTTAGAAACTATAAAATTTAATTCGTATATTTTTAATTTTCATTATTATGTAGAAATTAAATCTTATATTATTGTTCTTATCAAACGAACAATATATATAAGTATTCCCATAATTGTAATTATAATTTTTATAATAAGATTGTCCAAGTGTGTGTTTTCTTTTTTTAAAATAGAAAATATTTTGCTCGTTCTTATATTATTTTTATTGAATAAATAATTTCTACATATATAATGATTGTTAATTAATTTATTCGATTGATTTGTAACACTTTAGGTAGGCGAGGCATCTTTTACATAGCAGTGGTTTGCATTGTTCCTATGTATGAGAATATCTATATACTTATGTATAATACACATACAATTGTAAATACATAGAGTAAGGAAAAGGCTATGTATATGTATATGGAGTAATATATAGAGAGTAAGAGAGAGGGATAGATAGATAGGTAGATAGATAGATAGAGTCTGCGGCAAGATGTCCTCGTTTTGCCGCGAAAGACGAGATCCTGCGGTCTCGAATGCATTATCGCAGAAGGGAAACGCGGAAGACGGAGAATTTCTCTCTTTGTAGACTCCATTTGTCTCTCTCTCTCTTTCCTTCTTTTTTTCCTTCATTGTTTTAACTTCTTGTCGCTTTCGTGGTTCCTCTTTTGTCGTCGATAATCGCAGTCCGTTCAAAGGGATATGGTGTACATAATCAAAGAAAATGTTATAAAAGGTGGAAGAGATAAAATAATAAAGGGTTAAAGAGAGTAGAAATAGAGAAAAAGATAAAAGAAACTAAACCTTTATATTGAAATCCTACTTGTAATAGTTCGATAAATAGATATTTATTTAGTTTATGTTTTTTATATTTTATTTTGTATTCGAAAATCATATGAATATATTATAATTTTATTAGTATTAATTATAACACATATATATATATTTTATATTATTTAATATTACACTATCACATTTAAAATATCTTTATTTTTATTATTTAAATAATACTTACAATATTTTTTTTTACTTTTAAAATAGAGTAAAAGTAATTGAACACACACCGTTAATTATTAGATACAATCTTCCACACTTAATATAATTTTATTTGCAGATTATTACTTATTACCAACATCAAACATTTTATTTCCTCTTATTAATCTCTTCCATCCTTGATACAGGATATTCGATAAGAGTATACTTTTAGTAGATAATTTAGTTCTAAAAATGGTTCGAGTTATTTCATTGATAACATTTATTTATTCTTTTTATAATCTCCTCTCTTTGTGATGTGTATCAATTTCATGTGTTTTGAGGTAAAAGAGGGTCGACTGCGATCTTTGGCTGCGTTTACATCGTCCGACGGTTTTGAAAGTAAATTCTTGCTCTCTCTGTCTCTCTTTCTTTCTTCCTTCCTTCTTACCCCTCTTTCTTTCTATCTTCAGTAATGCTTACGTCTCCTTGAAAATATCACGTTGGTGTGGTGGTTAGTAGACGTTGACCTTTGGCAAAGAACTCACTTCCTCTTTTCTCTTTAACACGCGTCTCTTTTTGGTGACGTCGAGGCACTCCAGTTAACGCAAATCGATTCCTTTCTCTCTCTCTCTTTTTTTTGAGAAAGAGGCTTATACATATGTTATATAGTATTCATGTATTTAAATTTAAATGTTTATCATACTGAGTTTTTTTTTGTTTTTCAAAATGTCATATCTTTAGGTGTAATTTTAAACTCGTTTTATTGGTTAAACTGTTTTCATATTTTCGGATTTCTTCCTTGATCAACAAAATATAGAAATTATAAATACAATTGTTTAATTTGTAATTAATTGATTTCAAGAGAAAGAGAAAGTAATTTGGTTCGTGTATTTTATATTTAAATGTTAATTCAAGTATTTCGATGTTTTACAGACACTTCTGTGTAATTTTAAACTTGTTCAATGGTCAAATTTTTACCATTAATTTGTTTTCACATTTTTTTTTAATTTTTAGAATCTTTGTCATATAAAAAGAAATATAGAAAACGAGAATAAATTATTTATTCGGTTTTTGGCTTAAAATATTAATAATTAATAAGCTTATCTTTTTTATTAATTATTATATATACATAAATATTAATTTAATAATTTTATTAATTTCAATAAACTTATCTACACTTATGTATATTTAAATGTTATTATAGTTTTGGTTAAATAACGAATTTCTGCGTAATTTTCTTTTCAAATCATTCGTACAATTTTCGAGTTTGTCGTCCGAATAAAAAACAAAAACGACTAATCAACAATTTAATCTTTAATTTAAATTAATCGATTTCAATGGAAACATTCAAACGTTTAAATGGTAATAGTTAATAGTGACGTTCAAAAATGTTGAATTTTTGTCTAACTTCGAATCTCTTTTTTTTTCTTTATTAGTTAAGTTGATGTTTTTTTCTTTATTTTTCAAAAATTCCTTTTCATATTCGCGGATCTGTCATCTCTAAAGAAAGAAATCATCAATCCAGTGTTTGGCTTTAATTCAAAACTTCAAGAAGATTTTCACGTCTTTGGTTGACGACTACCTCTCGTAAATATCCGTCAACGAAATTCTCCGGGGATTAGAAAACGAAATGGGAAGGAAAGGATTTACCTTTTTCTCTTTTTTTTTTTTTTTACTTTGCTTCAGGCTAGTAGGTTCATCGATTTTATTTTATTTTAGTTTTTTTTTTTGATCCTTTTTCTTTTAACTTCTTAAAGTCGAACCATCTATTTAATCTTGAATAATAATAGATTTAAAATAATTAAATTCTTTGTTTTTCATTAGATAACAAATTTGATTAAGATTTCAAATTTAACGATACGAATTTCAATGATATTTTATAAATGAATTTAAATCTTAAAGATTTGGTTAGTAGTTTTTTATTTTAAATTATTTTATGATGTGTCAGGTTTCAAATGCACGCAAATATTGCCAGATCTGATTAAATATTACCAAAGTTTATGCGATTCTAAAATCGTTTAACAGGAAAATACAAAAAAATTTTCTATTCAAATCAATCATTTAAAAAATGTAATTAAAAAGATTTTCATACAATTATTTACAATTTGAAATTTTATTTTCATTTATGATAGATTTATTTATTTATTCACGAATAGTTCAATGAATATATAGATCATTATTTAGCATAAATGTAGATGCTTCATATACGTGAGTAAATTGTATCAAATAATTATAAACAAATTAAATATTTTTCAATAATCTTTCTGAAGTCTTCTCATTTTACTCTCTCACTCATTAACTCACACAAAATGAATTAATACTCGATAATATACGGTTAGGCAAAAACGATAGGAAGGTTATCTATGTTTCCAGTTCGATAAATCAAATTGTGCAGGACAATGTGCATCCCCAGTAGGGGAGGAGTACAATCCACCTACCACTAACACCGTCACGATCACTAATACCATCATAGTAGTTGTAGTTGTCATCTAGCGTTCGCTTAGAGTATCATAAATCATCCTTTGATAGAATTTTTTTTTATGAATGCATGATAAAGAATTTTTTTTTTCAAAACTTTTTCAAGAGTCGACTCAATTGAATCATTTTTCCATTAAATTTATCATAAGAATGATATATCTAGGAATATATTTTATAATAATAACGGTAATAATAATAAACAAAAATACTAATATACATAATACATTAAGATATTTATTTTAAATTATTTTTTAAATCAAATATATTTATCTTATAAGATTTTATATCTTATACTTTGAAAATTGTACAATTTTTATTTAGAAATATCACATTCTTATGATTAAAATTAATAATTCTTTGGTATTATTATTATAGTAGTG